TAGCAGACTCCAAATCTCTCTCTTCTCTTCTCTCCTCTCTTCTCTCTTCTCTCCTCTCTTCCTCTTCTCTTCTCCTACCTCTCTTCTCCTCTGTTCAGCTGTTAATAAGTCCAAAACTTGATTTTCAGCCCATTACCCACTTTAGATCACCGGTAAACTATTTCAGCAATTCACACCCACGGGTTAACACCTTCCAAGACCAAAAAGCACTCAGCTGATTCTGAAACTCTCCTGGGAACACCAACAGCCTAGCCATAACACCTCTAAACAGAGATAAAAACACCAAGAAACCCTTCTAAAAACTGACCGATCTCACCACATTAATTGGAAAACGAAAACAGTGTTGCTTCATCCCACCATTCACAGACTAGAATCAACCCCATGTTGCTTCATTTCACCATGCACAGACCAGAATCAACCTACATGTACCATGTACACAGTCCCTCTTTGAACTGCCAAATAGAGGGAGTCTAGAATACCATCAACAACCAAATGACCAATGCAATTGAAGCATGGAAGCCTCCTATACCCCTGGGCAATCGGTCCTTTTTTATTTTCCCCTCCCTTCACTGTATATGAGTGGAAACCTTCAGCTGAACCTGGTTGAAGTATCCTTCACAGAGCAAGTCGAGCAGATTGATCAACCTTGCTCTGATACCATGTGATTTAACCTGTAATTTATAATTTAAACAAGCAAAAACCTAGTAGAAACCTAGGAGACAGAGATTAAGTTGAGAAAGGAGAAACAAAGAGAAGAAGATTTAGAAAAGAATAGATTCATCAAAAAAAAAAGGATTTAGAAAAGAATAGGGCTAAGAGTCTCAGTATCAAGAACTGCCACCCTTATAACTTAAATAAAAGAGGAAAAAGACTAAATTGATCCTGCACAAACACTATAATTTAACAGAATTAAACATATTTTTTGTTGTAGCTCAAAACTTTTTGAGCAATCAGGGACATTCCACACATGATTTGTTGTTGTTCTTGTTAGCATTGTTACTATTTATTATTGTTTCATATGACCTAATCCATTAGTACTCAAGTTAATAACTTTATGTGTACATTCCTTTGCAAGCAGAGAGTGCCAGCAATTCATCTTTTCTGCGCTAGGTTTAGGGAGCAAATAGGAGACGTAGTTGGTGCCCGTTCTGCATTTCCTCGATGTGATCCAGAATTGGACTCTGACTTCATTGAAAGTGTTGCAAAAGAAGCCAATATGGAAAAACGTCTGGTGTGTAGGTTGCCTATTCATCTTACCTAGTTGGTGCCTTGTGGGGAAGTACTTTTATGCACTTACCAAAAAAATGTTTGTCCATTTTTTGTCAGGGAAATTTTGGAGCAGCTTCTAATGTATATGAAAAAGCACTTCAGATGGCCAAAGAGAAACAGAATTCACATTTTCTTTCAATTCTTTATGTTCATTTTTCACGGTTTAAGTACATGGTAGGGTCCAATTATATGGTAGATAAGAATTTTTAACTCATTTACTGCTTAAGTCTTATTTGGGGTTTTAGTTATTAGTTTATGTATACAATATAGTTTCACACCAATCTGGATGTGTTTGGAATTGGACTTGGACATCTGTTTCATGTGTTACACCTGTGTTTTGTGAACTTTTGTTTATGATCATGTTTCTCCTGTGCTTATTACATGGACATTCATACCTGATGATGGTAAGAACATTCTACTTGGAAATAATTAAAGCATGTTTTTAAAATGTAAAGCAGGATCCTTTGTTTTGCACATTTTTTTATTGGCATGCTTTCTCTTGAGAAAGCTTGCTTGGTTTAGTTGTTCTGCACATTTATCATCATCATCATCTGTTCACCATTCTGTTCTTGTCCCAAGTCCTAACTATATGAGGCTGGCTACATGAATCCTGTTTCAGCATTCTGTTCAGCACAATTTTTTTTATTGGCATGCTTTCTCTTGAGAAAGCTTGCTTGGCTTTATTTGGGTTTTACCTTTCTGTTTTGAATTCATCATCATCACCATCATCTCAGCCTTGTCCTACTATATGAGGTCAGCAACATGAATCCTGTTCCACCATTCTGTTCTGTTCATTTCTTACTACTTCAATCCATGTCCTTTATGATTAGGTTGAATTGTGAAAGGCCATGTGTGGGTTTTCACATACATGTAAGAGTGAGACCTTCAAATTTACGTGTTTGGCAGGACCATTGAAATGGGTAGGCAATTATAAAAATCTGCAAATCCAGAATAAAGAATTAATGTTTAGCACTAATACTTAGTTATGGCTTAGGAATGAGAGTGTTGGTTTAAGTATGCATATTAGGCCAGGTGTGAGGGTAAGTGGTACTCCAAGTTCTTTAACATACAACCTAAAAATATGGAATTTCTTTACAGATTTTTAAATGATCTTTTTGGTTCTGCATTTGTGATAATTAATATGCTTGTATGTGATTTTTATCGGTTGATGTGAACTTATTTGGCTGTAGTATATAGTTCTATGTTTATCTGCAGAATTACTGATACAACACTGTCTGAATGTTTAGTTCCATAAAAGCAATTCAAGATTAATTTTATGAGATTTTTTAGTATAATATTCTTATTTGAGTCTTTGTTTGTTATTTCATTGACCAACATATTCTTCTTTTTTCATTATGAGGTGGATTTCTCTATTTGATGTTCCTCTATTAACGGGAAGTTGCTACTGATTTTTTTTTTCCTGAATTTCTTAATAGATCACCGGTAGCATAGATGCTACTAGAGAAGTCTTAATTGAGGGTATTCATCATTTGCCATATTGCAGATTACTTTTAGAGGTATTTGCATATTGCTTCCTTTTTTTTCTCTATTCTTTTTTCTTTATAACTTCATGTTTGATGCCTCACCGGGAAATTTATTTACATCTAATAGAAGCTTTAATCTGGCATGCACTAGATGAACAAACTCTACAAAAGCCAATGCCTGGGTTAGGGTAGTTGAGAACTTTCTATATCCAGTCCAAACAATCTTCAATTTACTCAATTGATTACCCAAAGGTAGGTCCATATATATCCTTCTAAAATTTTGGTGGCAATGAAACATCAAAAAGTGCATCTCATTTACCTATTTCCAACATGATTAACTCCAAAGCCCCTTTGTTGAATTTGTTTCCCTTTAATCATCAACAAAAGAAAGTTGCACTTCTTTTTCAATTCACAATTTATTACTCTTGCACTACCTGAATCTCAACTTTTCTGTGTAGAAGAGGTATAAAAGGATCACCTTTTGAGGCACCAGGTTCTTGTATGTAACAGCCACGTTATTATTTCTCGAGTCTAGAGGACTGACTAGGAAAGGAAATGAAAAAAACTTGAATTCCACAGATTCTTCAAAAAAATTGAGGGGATCCACTATTCCCAATGCTGTTTTTATGTATGATTTAACAAATTATACCATAAAATTCTGTAGAAGCTAAACAATTAAATTTGACAAGACATAAGTCTTGAGAAATGACATTTAGCTTCAAAACTAGATATTAAAGCATGAATATAAGCATATTACATGGGATATCTGTCCTGTTTATATTATCCACGTCCGTGTCCGTACCATATTTGAGCATCATAGCCATAGTTATCAATGTGCTGGATGGAAGAAATTAAATTTTGATGGCAGCTGCATGGGCAATCATGGACCTTCAGGTATTGGTGGGGTAATCAGGGAGGAAAATGGAAATATTCTAGCCATGTTTTCAGGTCCTATTCAGCATGGAGATGTGATGAGATCAGAACTGTTGGCAGCTGTGTATGGGGTGGAGAAAGCTAAAGAATTGGGGATTGAGAGGTTGATTATTGAAGGTGATTCTAAAATTGCTGTGGACTTGCAAGAATGACACACTACAATGTTGAAGCTAGACACACCCCAATCACAAGCTATATTAAAGCTTTAATGGTTGATGATGAGTCATTTTTTGCAAAACTTGTAAAAAAGGCTCAGTTTAGAAAGGGTATAAATAGAAATATGTACAGTATAAATACATACAAAATACAAGATTTTGCACTCCACATATTTGCATTTGTACTCCTTCCAACCTGAGCCAAGAACGAATACAAATATGTACAATACAAATGCATGCAAAATAATATAAAACACAAGGTTTTGCACTCTACATATTTGTATTTGTACTCCTTCCAAACTGAGCCAAAGGAACAAACATCCTTTCATCGGTTCACCACTTCACCTTCTCACCTTCAGATCTTTTACAAAACTCATTGTGTCCTCTTATAAATTCACTTCCTCTACTTCACCCATTTGACTAATATAACTTGGAGCTAAAGTCATAACAAATCGGGGTTCCCTCAGTCCCACATGAACAGGAATAAGTAGGCCAGAAGAGAATGGAATAAAATTGAAGAGAGAGAGAGAGAGAAATGGTATAAAGAATGTTGATACATCAATAAAAAAATATAAACAAATGCTTTTTTGTATTCTTTTGTTGTATTTTATTTTCTACTCTTCTCAATTCTTGCACCAATCAAAAGAACAAATGAAGAAAAGAAAAATAGAGCAATGTAAAGAGGGGGCAAATAAGAGAACTGAAAGGCATATACATCCATCAGATCTTGTTCGAGTCTTCTAGCAACATCTTAGATGATTCCATCAAATCGAATCTTAATCTGAAAATGAAGATAGAGAACTCCATCTGATTAAGAACCCCATCGCCGTCCACATCTTCTTCCCTCAACATGATCTGCATCTTGTCATCTATCGATCCTTACAGCCCCAAAAGGTAAGAGTTTCTCTTCAAACTATCGAACGTGATGAATCCCTTATCAAGGTCTATGAGCAACTAAAACCCATTTCAGAGCTCCTCGATCAATCTCTACCTGTGTAACTTCTCAACAATTATGGGTAAGGAAGTAGAAACCTTAGAAATCGATGGCCTTTCATTATTATGAGAAGAAAAGGGATAAATCTCCTCCCACCTCTTTAATCTAAAAACCATTAATAACCATTAAAGCTATAGTTGGAAAGCTTTAACAATTCAATTTGGAAGTTGGATAAGATGAGGAAAAATCATCAGTGGTTAGTGGTAAGTGAGACAGAGAGGAAGATTTGGGTGTTAATGGCCTATAAAAACCAAAAACTAAAGCTGAGTTAAAGATGAGGAGTTCCCATTAGCTTGAATGCTGTTGGAGTCTGGTTGAGTATTCGTTTGTAGCGGCCCTGGTTTGCCCTTGTGATCTAGCAGCGGCGACTAGATGTTGGAGAGTCCGGTTACTTAAATGGTGACAACCTCAGGTTGGATATTACTATGTACTCATTTTAATATCAAATTTTGTAGTGGTCCAACATAATCTTAATTTGAACAGGTATTTACTACTTGCAAAAAAGCGAATTTCTTTGATGGCAGGTCTTTGTTTAATGAAATTGACACAAATAGCTGAAGGGGTAAAATTGGGTTTTGAAAATATTTAGCTGTATTAGTTTTAGTATTCAGATAAATGTTAAGGGAGGTTATTGATATAAATAAAATACTATATTTTAAAATCAACTAAAAATGAAATCGGTTTTTCTAGGTGTTAGATAAGTAGTTATACCATTTGGGTCAAACAAGTGAGTCCAAGATACAAGTCTGGATTTCCTACCCACGACAACTCTACCCACACCTACCCACATAACATCACAGCCACAAATGGGGAACACCTCATCCTCTTACATGTTATTATGCATGGGGAGGGGGGTAGTGTTTTGTGGGTACATGTGGGTAGAGTTGTTGTGGGTAGGAGATCTAGAGTCCCAAGATACCATTATTAAATAATAAAATTTAAAAATAAATAAAAATACATAAATAAAAAATTAGAATTTTTTAGTCGCATCTTTAATATTATATATTTGTCATATTAAACAAAAATAGATATGATAAACAAAAAGTATTATTGTTAATGATAGAGATAGAATGCAATGTTTAAAACTAATCCATAAATGATACCATTTTCCTCCCCAAGTGGTGGGCCAATGGTTTAAACATTTAGATCAATGGATTAACCCATGATGTTATAGTAAAATAATATTTTTTTCTAAAAATAGAAAATAATAAAAAATATAGACAATACATAAAATAGAAAAATGTAGACACATCTTTAACATTATATATTAATTCATAATAAAAAAGACAAGTGTGATAAACAAGAAATACTTTTATTAATGATATTATGAAATACAAGATTTAAAACCAAATGGGCCAATTGTACCAGACAAATGGGTCAACCCATGATGTTATAATTGAATAATAAAATTTAAAAATATAGAAATACAAAAAATATTAGTAGAAAATTTACCACATCTCTAATATTATATAGCCATCATATTAAAGAAAATGAGTGTGATAAATAAGAATTTCTTTAATTGATGGTGGAAATGGAATGCAAAAAGTAAAATTGTCTTGAAAAGGAAAATGTTTTCCATTCATGGAATGGTTCAAGAATTCAATAATCTAGGTTAAACCATGATATCATAATTAAATGATAAAAAATTAAAAATAGACAGAAATACTAAAAGCTATGAAAAGTAGAAAAAGTTTATATAAAGAGACATCGTTGATGTTATACATTCATCACATTATATAAAAAAAAAAATTGTTTTTATTAATAATGAAAATGGAGTGAAAGTTTTAAATTTTACATAAAAATAGATCCATTTTTTGTGTTATGTTAAATGAGACAGCTCATGTATCATAGAAAAAGTTTACTAGTGTGTGTGTGTGTGTGTATGTGTGTGTGTATGGAAACTGCTTGGCATATGGGTGAGGCGAGATAAAAAGTGCATTGTTGCTAGGCATCACCACCTTGACAACTATGATCATAGGTTTACATTTGACAACTCAGACAACACCATTGTCACTGTATTACTAAAGTACCAATTGATATTGAACAATTGACAAAAATAAGCCGATATTGTCATTGGTAAAGGCAGTATATAAAAAGATGGTCTGTTGTCTCCGTCTCATGTGTGCAAAGGACATAGCTGGTTTAAGGAATCTCCCTACCTCTTCTCAGCTGCTCGTATCTTGTAAGACATTTGACCATCGCTACTGTCCACACTTGGGAGACTTTCGACTGTGATGGTGGATCCCATGCTTTGGTGGAAAAGGTTCTTTTGGCAAGCATCACAATTGCGTGAACAAGGACCTCACTGTGAAAATTCAAGACTTGTTCCTTTCCATAGGCAGGTATCCCTAAGTTCTTGGATCAGAGCACATCTTTGAATCTGGAGAGTGGAGATTTCTTCTGATTCTTGATGCCCAAACTACCCTACTACCATTAATTTCATACAACTGTCCCTGTGGCATCTATGGAATTTAAAATACAAGGAAGAGCTCCATTAGAAGTCTTTTGTCACACCATTGTCCTTCCAAAATCTCACTTTCATCCTGTCCCCCATTTCATACTTGATTCCTTGAAATAGATTTAGGCCTTTTTGATACCTCTCCCAACCAAACAACCATAAGAAATGGTAGTAATGCCTAGATCCGTGATTCCTCAATTTATATAAATTGGGCATGTAATTAAACAATGCAAAATGTTGAAGGAGTTCTCATAGAGTTTTTTACAATCATTAGGTTTCATTACTTGATCACCAGTCTTGATGATATGTGCATAGATTTTAATAAATAGGGGCCATTGTTAGATCATCATCATCTAAGCCTTGTCCCAACAATAAGGGATCATCGACACGAATCCTGTTTATCCATTCTGTTCTGTTTGATGATCATCTAAGCCTTGGCCCCTATTTATTATCGTTAGATGTGATAGTAAATCTCAGGCTCAAGCATGAGAACATGGAAATGAGTCCGAGTGTAGCCACTTGGTGCAAAATATGTTGGAGTTTCTTTTTTGATAAATCACTATTATTTTATTTTATTCTTTTGAGAGAGAGAGAGAGAGAGAACAATAACTTGTGCATCCGGGTAATCGAATCCTAAATTATGTTGAAGCCTTGGAGGTTAGGTCCTTACCCAGTTCACCCCTCCCAAGACCCAGATAGCCAGAACCAGCATTGGGTAATGACCTTAATCCTTGAATACATATTTTATATACTTATATGTAAGAGCATCATATTGGAAGTGTCATTGCTTTTGCAAATTCAGTGGATCTGCCAAATTGTTTACACCCTGTTACTTGTGCAGGAATTAATAAACTTTGAGATGATGCATGGAGGGCCAAGGCAGGTGAATGTGTTAGATGCAATTGTAGCCAATGCAATCTCTCCACGGTCAGATGTATCCAAAGGTTTAAACACTCAAGATCGTGAGGATATATCAAGCTTATATTTAGAGGTTGCTTTTCCCTTTGACTGATCTACTATATATTCTATCATTTTTAAGGAAAGAATGAAAGGATAATATGTTTCTTGCATGTGTAATGCCATTTTTGTGTTCCATGTGTGCAAATCTTAGCGGGCTTTATGATACACGATGCTAAACAAACAGTATTTGCATTCATGAACCAATTAATTGGAAATTGGCACAAGACAAAAATGAAGAAGATTGGTGAGAAATTGCTGTAAAAGATTTTTTAATGTTAGTTTTTCTGTAAAAAATTACTAATTGTAGTAAGTTACTTCTTTATCATGGTTATCTTGGCCTTGAGCATACTATATATTGTACGAAAGTTTTATTATTTAGTGAAATTCAAATTTATTATATGTAGTAGATCCAATTTTCTATTTTTACTAAGCTTTGAGGTCTTAATTTTACTAATTTGCTTTATTTGTCTTAGGACTACCTTTGTAAAAAAGGCCATTAGCAAATGTTGGTCCCAGCTACCGGGGGTCTTGGAGTAGACTGGATACAGTCCTAACCTTCAGCATTTTTTTCTGCACAAAGTGGCCACTCTCAGACTTGAATCCACATTTTCACACTTGCCAGCCCAAAGTTAATCTTTAAATCTCTTGCCCTTGAAAAATGGTGGTTAGGACTTATTTTTATTTGAGTTATGTTTTGAATGGACCAACCCCCTATATGCCTATTGCTAAAACAAGGTATTGTTGTATATCTTGAATGGCATGGTTTATTTTTCTGAAGGTATGGTTCCTTACAACCATGGTCTAATCCTGGTTCAACTCCTTGATTTATTACTTTCTACATTATTTTCTGGTATGAAACTCTTAGCACTGGCAAGCCTTCTATGCCACACCTATTAGTTGTTTTGACCTTTTGATAAAACATGATTTCTTTTTTATGTTTACTGAAGACCTAGTTTGCTAATCCATATCTGGCATTGTTCTTCTATCTGGTGGGAGTATGGTTTATCAAAATTTCTTTAGCCAGAAACCTTGTGGTAGGAGGGATTAGGGATCTACTTCATCCACCATACATAGCCTCCTTGTAACTTGTTGGAATGTTTACATTATTTTTTATGTTTATTCTGCTGAGTTAGGGTCTGTTTGGTCTGGTTAAATTAAGTTTTTATCATTGTTTATGTACTCTAACTTAAGCAAGTGTGTAAAGGTCTTTTCCCTTTTAATTATGGTCGCCCTATATATAATAATATAAGCTGGCACCACCAGTCAGTTGATTCCAGAACCTTTCTCTTCTCTTCTCCCTTCTCTTCTCTTCTCCATTCTCTCCTCTCTCTCCCTTCTCTTCTTCCTTATTTCTCCTCTCTTCTTCTGTTAATATGGTATCAGAGCAGTTCTACTGGGTCTGAGAGCAGATCAAACAAGTTCTCTCTTATCTTGCTGTCTTCTTCAATTGAGATCAGAAAGGTTGACCTACGACTGGTACAAACTTGTTCTATTACCTTTTTTCTTTTCTCTTGGTTGTGTACCAAGAAAAAAACAAATGAATCAGGACTGTTGAATGCCGTCAGAGAAGTTGTGAGGTTCTAACCTCTTTTTTTATGGATCGTGTGATCCCATACCTGAAAATAGAAAACCTGTAGGTCGTGGATGGCCTGTTTTTTAACCATTGTGGTGTGATGGTACTGTTTTATGACCCCTCCTGACTGTTGATGATAGAAAATCTACCAGTGGGTATTGTACCTTTGTGGGAGGAAATGTAGTCACCTGGAAAAGTAAGAAGCAAAGTGTAGTGGCTAGATTTAGTGCTGAAGCAGAATACAAAGCTATGTCTCATGGAGTTTCTGAAATCATGTGGATAAAAAACTTGTTAGGAGAGCTGGGTTTTACAGTTAACAAACCTATGTCACTCTATTGTGACAATAAAGCTGCTATCAATATTGCTGCTAACCCAGTCCTCCATGATAGAACAAAACATATTGAAGTGGACAAGCATTTTATTAGAGAAATGAGCGGAGAAGTGTGCACTCCAACTTAAGCATTTTATTAGAGAAAAACTTGTGAGCGAAGAAGCGTGCACTCCAACTTAAGCATTTTATTAGAGAAAAACTTGTGTGGCATAATAATTTGTGTGACAAATTGGGCATGATTGACATCTATGTCCCAACTTGAGGGGGAGTGTTGAAATGTTTACTTTATTTTTTATGTTTGTATTCTGCTGAGTTAGGGTCTGTTTGGTCTGGTTAAAGTAAGTTTTTTATCATTGTTTATGTACTCTAACCTAAGCAGGGGCATAAGGGTCTTTTCCCTTTTAATTATGGTTGCCCTATATATAATAATATAAGCTGGCGCCGCCAGTCAGTTAGTTGACTCCAAAACCTTTCTCTTCTCTTCTCCCTTCTCTCCTCTCTCTCCCTTCTCTTCTTCCGTATTTCTCCTCTCTTCTGTTAATATAACTCAAGTTCTTAAGCATCCTGTGAGCTTGAAATTCTCATAGATCCAGCAACTTGTCTGAATGAGCACCACTAATGCACCTTTCAGTGAAAACTAGAAGTTTAAAATATTGATTACCTAAATGTCTTACTTTTGACTTTGAATAACAGTTATGCTACCCTTATGTTGGATTGCAACTTGATTCTATCCTAGTTCATTATCATTGGAGCATAGCATTACAGTGAGACCATACTGACACTTGTGTACATCTGCAACCTTGGTTTGCCTAGTTACTACAGCTAAATTCTGCTGACCTATCTTCTGTAAGCTTGAAGGCAGTGGATCTTCCCTCTACTCCATAGGTCCTGCAGTATAGTATCTAGGCATTAAGAAGAACCCATTCCCATCTTTTAGTAATTTAACTAATTCAGTAGGAAAGAAACTAAGCTTTCTTTAGAAATGTAATTTCCATGTGTCTATTATTGGATAAATTTTCTACATTGTCCACTTATATACATTTATCAATCTTTGATGATAGCAGTTTCTGGACCTCTGTGGAACCATCCATGATATCATGAAGGCATGGAATCGTCACTGGCGGCTTTTCCCACATTTGATGAGACCTCCTTTCCCATGTAAGCATCCAGCCAAAGGGAATCACACCCAAGAAATGGCCAAAGAAGTAAGACGAGATACTCTTATTCCCCTTCCTAGTTGTGCTTCTGAAAATGATAGCTCTCATGACCCATTTGAACATCCAAGGTTAAACCAGAAATTCTCTGTGTATGAAAATCCTGATATACAGTCTAACAACAGTGCCACTGGCCAGTCCCAATTAGAAGAAGCTAATGATGTCAGACAAGAGCAAATGCAACAGGTAACATTACCAGCTGTAGAAGAAGAATCTTGGCAAGATGCAGTCAAGCAGAATGAGGATGCTTATGATTTAGTGCATGAAGCCCATAATGGTCCTCAATCTACAGAGGCTGTGCAAAAGTATTCCAACAAGGAAAACAAACTTTGTAAAGCATCTGACCAGGAGTCCAAATTTGATCCTAAGTTGCCTTCACTCGAGGGTCTTTCATTAAACACAGATCATGAACAGGATTCTGCTCATACCACATCTCGTGGCTGTGAAGCTCCTCAAGAAACTCCTAGGTCGAATGGAAGCAGATTACAAGATGGTGGTGATGATAAGGATATTTCTGTATCTAATATGCCGTGCACCAAAGCCGATGACCCTGCTGGGGTTCATTCTCAAACAGAAAATGATTCTCCACATAAGGCCATGGATCCAGGTTCTCCACAAGCACAGACACATTCACAATCTATATCGCATACAGATGGCCCATTGCATCATAATGTCATCAATGGAGGAAACTTGCATCAGATGAGTTTTACCGGGCAAACTCCTAGAGATACCAATCTTGGATTTCATGGGTATCCTCAAGCCCAGCATCCTCAACAATGGCAGGTTTCTCCAAATTCATCTGTCCAACCTGCTGAAATTCACTCCCAAATGCCAATGAACCAAGGTTATCCCTGTCAGCCTCCATCCTGGCAAATCCCACAGGTTCAGCATGGCCCCCAAGTGCAAAACCAGCATCAGGTGGCTTCTGCTCATGTTCAAACAGCGGGTGCTCTCGTCTGGCCAGCTCACAATGTTCAGCAGCAGGGCTTTGCATGTGCACCACATTCACAAGTGGTCACTCAACATGTTTCCTACCCTCAAGGACATGTTTATCCATATCCACTGCAAAATAGTGAACAGAATGGACATATGCAAATCAATGAAGCATATGCTACTCAGATGTGGCAATATTATTATTACCAGCAGCAGCAACAACAACAACATCAACAACATGTTCAGCAGTTACAGTACCAGCAGCAGTCACAACAGCAGCAACAACTTCAGTACCATCAACAGCAGCAGCAGCAGCCACAACAAGCACTGTATCATCAACATCAACAGCAGCCACAACCACCACATTGCCATCAACAGCAGCAACATCCACAAAACCAGCAGCAGCAGCCACCACAACACAATAATCACCATCAGCAGCAACAACAGATAACATCATTGCAGATGCAGACATGGAACAACTATTACCAACAGGTACGCTTTGTATAAAAGCATCTCTCCTCCCCTCCACACCCCCCCCCCCCCACACACAAAAAAAAAGAGAAAAAAAAAGGAAAAGGATATCTCAACCATAATTTTAAAATCCAATTTTTTGTTCCTCGATAAGAACGACCTAAGGTAATGTATTTGGGATACTACAGCTTACTACTTAATCATCTTTAAAACTAATTGTGATGTTTCAAAATCTCAAATTTCCAGTACCAATGTAGTTACTTGTATCAACTTCCAACAGCTCAACATCCTCCGTCTTACCTATATCTGTAAGATAGTAACAAGTTCTCTTCTTAGAGTTGATGAAGAAAGGACTTAATACTCAATTCAGATAGATTTAATATATTGATAGCCATCAGAGACGTTTGACTTGTATGGACCTAACCATTTGAGCATGTAGCAAATTCCATTTCTCCACAGAGAAGATAGATCTATTCGCAGTGTACGTGAAGATGGGTTTGGTTTATGCAAGTCAAGAATCTACCCATATATGAATTGTTGACTCCAAATGTAAAGTGGGGTGAACTACAGAGAAGTTATACTAAGAAGACAGGTTTCGTCTGCCAAGGCTAATTTGTTACTATCTAACAGATATGAGCAGGAAGTTGAGCTGTTTGTACCAGTAACTACATTGGTACTAGAAAATTGAGATTTAGAAATATCAAAAAAATGTTTTAAAGATAGTAAAATAGTAATCTATACCATTGGACACATCTCTTAGTAATTACCAAACATTAAAAAAAAGGACTTGACCCTTTGCAATTGTGAGGTGTAATATCCATATTAAAATTTCAGAGCATGTATAGACATATTCCTCTTGTATTCGTAAAGCATTTCTTTTGTTCTGTAGGTTCAAGGAGTTGCTGAGCATAACATTGAAGAATCTAGACCTATTGCACATCCCCATCCTTCTCAGCAACCTTCTAATCAATGAAATGGTGAGGTTTCATGCAGAGGTACATAATAATTATAGCAACATATATTAACAAACAACTGAAGAGTATCCTTGTACCTAAAATTGAAATGGTATTTGTTAAAATAATTTAGTTGTTGGTGTTAGGGTCTGTTTGGCTAGTTAAAGTGTTTTTTTATTTCGTTTTTTCACTTTTGTTATGTTTGTTATTGTACTCAGGGGCACAATGGTCTTTTCCCTTGTTACTTCTGCCGCCCTATATATATATTATAATAAAGGCTGATGCCGCCAGCACTGTTACATCCCTTCTCTTCTGCTCTCTCTTCTCTCTTCTTCTTCTCTTCTCTTTTCTTCCTCTTATTTCTGGCCGGCCATACTATCAAGATGGTATCAGAGCAGGAATATTGACTAAAGAGAGCAGATCGAACAACCTTTACTAAGAGAATAGATCGAACAGACCTGCTGAACCTGGGCGGAACAGAGATCTGAATCTGGACTGAGGAAAACAGCTTTACAACTGGTACAGTTCTTCCGTTTTCTCTTCTTTACCCTTCTTGGTCGTGTACCAAGTGAAAACCAAACGAATCTAGGCTGTTGAATGCTATCGGATTTGTATACCTCTGTTTTTTTTTGGATTGTGTGATCCTGTTCATGTGTTAAGACAACTATAAGTCAAGGATGACCTGTCATCTCAATAATTTGACTTGATTATAAGTGATAAGGATCTCTCCTGCTGATTAATGGCTTTAGACATTCTGGAAGGCTGGTAGGTTGGGACTGTTAAAACTGTACAGATCTGAAATCTACTGAATATTGCTTCTGTTTTGTCCTGAATTTGGTATTGTTTGTGCTCAGCCTGTTTTTAAACCCAAGTGTGTGGGTGTGGACTAAGTGGAGCATTGTTTTGTAGAGTAAAGAGGGGTCCTAAGTCCGGTGTTTGGGACTGATTATCTGTTTTGACCATGTCGTCTGAGAATTCTGCTACTTCAGAGATTTGAGGGAGCCACAATGGAGTGAGTGGGGGAATGGATATGAGTTTTCCCATGGTTGTTATTCCCTTTGATGGTCTGAACTACCTTGAGTGGTCTAGGGGAATAAAACTCTACATCACTGCTAGGGGGAAAATAGGATACATCAATGGGAGAGTGAAGGAACCRAARTAYGGAARTRYTGAATATGATAGGTGGAACCAAGAGAATAGTATGGTGATGTCTTGGCTCTTGGTTTCCATGCTGCCACAAGTAAGGAAGACCTTTATGTGGGCTGAAACTGCTTGTGAGATATGGGAACAAGTGAAGTCCACCTATTCAGAGCAGAGACACTATGCCAAGATATATCAACTGCAAG